TTTACTCCATAAAGTAAAATACCAGCCCATGGTTTGCGTTTACCTAAGAATAAAAAAGTAAACTAACAGATGAATATTTTCAATTGATCAATCATTTTCTCATTGAAAATTATTTGATTATAGATTATCAACTATGTTGATTTCAAATATGATCATGAGAAATCACCTTAGATCTTCAAATGCTTGTTTTCCAGACTAAGAAACTTTTCACTCAACAACTCTTTTTGATTTGTCTAGATTATAGAGCATATGAATGATATTATTTTATTTAAAACTCATTTTTAAATACCAGAAAATATTATAGTCTTATTGACAACTTGATATGTTCTATAATCTGAATAGATCTAAAACGATTTCGAAAAAACATCTGTTAGTCTGAAGAACCAGTTTTCTAGAAAATTCGTACATAAAAATCTCGAATAAAATAAGATTTCAAATAGTTAAAATTTCGGAAAGCAAGTCTCGCAAGATGTCCTCTCATTCTATTGTCACACAGAGTGGATGTGGGTATGTATTTGGGGTCGTCTGCTCCATACCACACCTACACCCAGAGGATGCAAGGAGTACCTATACACTCTTCCCCTTGATCAAGAAGCACTTGGAGGGACTACAGGTAAAAAGAACCTATTCGCCAAACAAAACGTTATTTTCTCGCTGGTGTACATCCTCATAACAAGTCAGGCAAATCTTTTTAAGACTTTTCCACTTCATTGTTACGGATTTTTAAAAGAGAATATTAAATACAAATATGATTAGTTAAATGTCATATACTGCAAACTATTCGAAATTTTTTTATTTTGTAATCTTGATCTTTCGAAGTGTCGATTTTGTTTTTTATTTAGAGCTTTTTATATCAAGTAAAAACCTAATAGGATTGGTTATAATCATATTCAGAATTAGCATAGTTGATAATCTATAATCCAGTAGCTTTTGATGAGAAAACAATTGATCAATTGAGAACCTTTCCTCGTAAATTAAAGATAGAGATTTTTTTATGACATATACCTTGAAAAAGTTGTGGATATTTTACTGGTAAAATAACAGCTTCTTTTAATGCTTCTTTAGCTTGTTCTAAACCAATAACATCAGCAAATGTAACCTGTGGATCAGTAATAATAGCTCCTACAATAGAATATAAATAAATATATTTGTGAGAAAAAATAATAAATTTTATAACCTTCAAATTTTTGCATCATTCGTCTTCGTTCTGGATCACCACTATCATCATCATCTTTATTATCTTTTGAATTTCCACCAGCAGCAACTGCTTTTTTCGTTTCTGGTCCATTCTTTGGAGAACCTTTTATTTCTTCCGCTCGTTTTATATAACTATTCACTTTCGCACGAATGTTTTGTTTCAATTGGTCATTCATTGCTCCATCTATGTATATACACAAATATATTTATTCATTTTCCTAGACAAGACTTATCTTTGATATACTTACATTTTACAGCATGCATTAAGCATTCTGCTGCTGCCATGTAATTTTTACCAGCAGCTTCATAATTATGAGCTCCATCTTCTGCTGTAGCTCGTTCGGCGTATTGAATACCTTTCTATTAAATGAAAATATTTTAATAAATATTTACCATTTTAAAATAATTGATTACTTGAATATAATCATTTGCATTACTAGACATCGTTTCAATGATGACAAAGAGATAACTAATACAAAAAAAATTAGAAAATAATTTTGTTTTTTTTTTCTTTTTTAATATTATTAAAATTTACAAGATAAATACAAGTTTAGATGAAGAAAAATCTCAAATTATTATCTGATATAGGATGACGACTATCACAATATAATAATAAATAAAAAGAAAGAAAAAATATTTTTATTTGTTAACTTACGTCAATTAACAGAGATGTAGCATGGAATAAGATGATTCATTCAAGTCTGTCGTTTAATGCATATCTGTCAGTCATGAATTCAATAATAATCAAATAGAAAATCATATGATATTATTTTAAGAAAAAATAAATAAATAAACTTGATAATTGAAATTTGATAATATTTAAAAAATATTTTTCTTCTTGACATTCATCAGATGTCAGAAGCTGTCATTTCATATTTAACATTTCAAAAGAACTTTTTTTTGCAACAACTATGTATCTTATTGTCTTATCTATTGTTCATTGAATTTTCGAATATAAATACTCAAAAATAAAAATTCATTTAGCAATTCTGTATTTACTTCTTTTATGTTGAGCAAATCAAATGAGAGAACAATATTCATTAGGCTAAGTTATGAGTCATTACATCAACTAAGAAAGAACAAACAAATACAAATGAATTGATTCGTGATCTCTACATATAGAAAAATAATTATAATAATTTTTGGAAGTATTTATTATTCATCAAAAAATATATAGAAAAAAATATACATTAAAAGAATTCATTTAAGACATTCAAATATACAGATTTTTATTTATTTAATTTATGAACCTTCTTGACCATATTCTTCTGTAAATTTTCGAAATTTAATCAAATCTTTTTCATTTATAGTTGGCTTTTGTGTCGAAAGAGCAGCTAACATATCAGACTAAAATTAAAAAATATATTTCTTCGATGAATCGACTTCTTTAAAATACTAACCATAGTTACTGGTGGTTCACATAATTCTTCAGATTTAATATTATCTAATGTTAATTCTACAGCATCTGGATCTCCTGGTGAACAGGGAAGCCAAAGTTGACGAGGACCATCCGGTTTTGAATTTGGTACCTATACAAAAATCATAAAAAAAACAAAAATAAATAAATAATACATACTCTTTTGAAATGTGTTCCTGAACTAAGTCGACGAATAGGTC